CTCTCTCTCTCTCTCTCTCTCGCCGGGCTTTGGTATTTAGTTTGGGGTGCTGGGATGACCCCCTGCCCTTAAGCGCCCCCAATGCATTTTGGTCCTGAATACGTCAGCGTGAAGCAGGAAACTCTTCAGCGTTGGCCCACTCTCTCCTAGACAAATTAGCAACCAGGAGGAAAGGCAAGCGAGAACTTCCAATGAGCTTCCTCCAGGAACTTGTTCAAAGTGTCGGGTGGAAAGAAAAGCAGTAAGAAAGTGAGCTCTCTCTTCTTCTTCGGGTGCTAGAGAGCCCTCTTCTTCTTCTTCTTCGGGCTTTAAGGGGTCCTACGACCCCTCGCAGGCAAAGCCCGCAGCCCACGCAGGCGCGCAGATCTCTCTCTCTCTTGCTCTGACTCTCCCTCTCCGTCCACCCTACCAATGCACCAGCTGCAAGGCTGAGACAGGAGCACAGCTTTTTTAAATATGGCTGGCACACGCGTCGGAAGTCAAGGCTGCATCATCCTCAACTGCACCATGCCCGCATCATTTGAGCTGCCCCTGTTCCTTAGTGCGCACGCTGCGGACAAGCGCAGAGAAGAATTGGAAAGCAAAGGTCCAGCAAGGCAAGAGAAAGCAGGCCAGATTTCATTGCACGGCGATTGAATGACTGCCAGAATGTGCTTGAATGACTGCCAGAAAAGCTAAATGGGAGACCCACTTCCAGGAGTGATGTTTAACAGGAAGCACAGTTTTGAGACACGAGGGTTGTTTCTCGGTGTTTGCTTCCGATTAGCGCCCAGTCATGCGACTGAAGCTGCGCTCCCAACTGGGTGGCTACAAGCCTTGGCGTTGAGTTCTGAAACCTTCTCTTTTGCGTTGAAGGCCAAGGCTTGCATCGATCATATCCTTGCTGGTACCCACGCCCTATGGGCTGAAACGGAATCACGATTCTTGCACGTTTACTTCACGTTGTCGCTAGAAACGAGGATCCATGCGCATATGTTTCCTTGGGCATCCAAAATACATGTAGAATCTATACCGACGTCTGCCCCACCAGAACTATAAATTCATTACTCGCCTGTTTGCACCGAACATTCCAGTGTCCAAAGATAGCTGCAGATGGCGCATAAGATGCTCAGAATGTGGGGAACCCGGAACCCTCTTGTACAACAGCCCGGACAAAAAGGCACCACGCCATAAAACCATATTAAACCCTTCTGTTGAGTCTTGAGTAGTCCTGCAATAGCTGGGCGTTCCACGCTCCTGTTTTGGTTTTTGGGGTATGTATTCAACGCTTTCTGCCAGAAAGGGGATCGGTTTGGGAGCTCCATGCTGGCTTCTGAACGAAATCCTCTGCCTACCCGTTTGTGAATCCAACCTGTTCCTTTGGGGAGAGAGAAGATGCTATTTGCTTTGCTAGAACCACCACCGGCACACCACGAATAAATTCATCTGGCAATCCGCCGACAAGTATCGGAATCAAGCCAACCCAGGAGCCTCTTGCAGTTGCACGCGCCCAGCGCATGTTGGAGGCACAGCGCATGGCACACCGCACGGGTAAGCTCCTACCAAGATGGGACAAGAAGCCGTTGCCAAGCCAACGGTCATGACAATCTGGGACAAGGATTTAGACAGAGAAACAGACAGCAAGAAAGAGAGAGAGAGAGAGAGAGAGAGAGACAGGCAGTGACAGGCAGACAGAAAGAGACACAGGCAAACAGGGAGAGAGAGACGGATAGACAGGCCTGGACGCAGGCAGACACTGAAACAAGGTGACAGGCAGGCACGGAGACATGCGGACTTTGAGTTCGCCGAACGATTGAGGCGTGCCTTGCGCGCTGAAATCTAAGGTCCTACCCAAGGATCCTGATACGGGCCCCTGCGTGCTTCATGGGTCCTAGCTACGTAATAGGTCTTGGACACTGCCAACAGGGATGGAAACATGATTTCCTGGCGCCCATTGGGCCTGAAAACAAACAAGATGGCGTGACCGCTCTGCAGCCGAGAGAATCATCTTCTGCTAGTCTTGGCAATCCACTCCTTCCGTTCTGTGAGAGGCTAAGTTTTGTCGACTCACCTGCATTCAACGGTCGCGCTCTCACGCCCATTTCCGTAGACTTCGAAATGAACATTGCAACCCAAAAAATTGCCACGTCTTGCGCATTCTCCGCATGCCTAACAACATCCATCCACTGGTGGGCATTCCAGCCAGTCACTTGCTGCTGGCGTAGCAGCGGCTCCTCAGACAGCCGGCAACTAGCCGAGGGAAATCCGTCAGTCGAGGGAAATCTTGCTGTGCAGATTGGGATTCACTGGAACTTCTCACTGCGCGTCTAAGTCAGGTGGCTCCGCTGCATGAGCAGAGAAGCTGTTACTGTAGGATCACAGCAAATTTCTTTGGAACGTATGCGCGAAGCTGCGAGACGATCAAGCTGACTTCGGGAGCATCCCACAGCATGCAAAACATGATTACAGAACCGGCGAAGTGCGCACACATGCATCCCATAGCCCATCTCTTGTGAGTGTAATTAGATCGCAGCGTCGCAGGAGCGGATATGCGGTTGCGCATGGTAGGCTTTCCGAAGGAACCATGAGAAAAGGTGATACCTCGGCACTGTGGAAGATAGATGAAAATGGCAAATACACCCCGCGGCGACGCGGTGAGGCGAGGAATGCTCTCAACCTGGCCGTAGTTGGGCCAGGCTTTCAAATACGGAGCCTGGGTCCAGCTTGCCTGCTGCAGTCAGGACGTGAACTGCAGCAAGGTCCCAGGCCTGTTTCTTCTTGGGTCCTTAACGCAGCGATTTAATCATGCATTCACCGCTGGCGTCCCGAAACTTAGCTGCGCCGCTGTCATCTCGTTTACCTTCACTAGTTTGCACCTTCAAAACCATTTGAACGCGTATACCGGGTCATTTGCATGTGGACGGTCATTTCGCAAATACGGCCATATACGGGTTGTGGGGTTGAGGCATGAATTTTGGATGGGTTATGATTGGAAGGTCCACGGGCATATACGGGCATCAAATAGTTGCAGAACAGGGTGTGGTTGCAACATGCTTCCACGCTGAGCTCGTCCCCATTGCCTTTTTTGATCCAGCAGCATCCCCTTGCCGATCTTCATTTGGCTTTGCCAGGAGCTCAGGGCAATTGTGGCTGACAGCATGACTATGTGATATTGGCATGTGTTTTATCGAGCTGCGCGCACAATTAGCCCCAAATTTTGCGAGCTCGAGCACAATACCGTTCTAAGCTTCTGTACGAATTTGTTACAGGGCTCACGCGCCTTGAAAGTCGAGCCTGCTGGCCAACAAAATCCTGAGCTCAAAAGCTGCGACCCTGCATGAAACCTTTGCAGCTACAAGTGTGCCCCACAACACAGGAAACCCTATTCTGCATCATGCCGAGAAACCTCATCTTGTTGGACTGATTCGTTCAAAATGTTGTACACGTATTCAGAATTGGCAACGTGGTATTGCAGGAAGCGGTAGGAGTGATCAAGATAGTGCAACTTTGAATGCAATGGGAATCGCAAAAGCTTGGCCGCGTAAAATTGCCTCGCCAAAGCCCCGCAGGCTTGCACCCAGAACCTGCCCAATCGAGCTGCCTCGGCAGCAATTTCTTTTGGAAGCCACAACCCGCCTTCATACAACAGCTGAAAGGACAGGTTCATTGCACAGGTAGCTTGATACATCAAACACAATCGGGGATCTTCACGATGCTCTGGCCGGGCAGCAAAGAAAAATTGAATGAAACGCATGTAGATGGTTGTATCGTTGTGCTTCGACCAGCTGGCATCAGGACATACTTGATATGAGGTCAAACCAATTCGATCGGCACAGAAATCTCCAGAATGAAGTCGATTTTCACGACTTGGCTTGCCCCGTTCGCGCATGATCGCTGCCATGGCTTCGACCTTGGCATCCTTAGAGTTGCCCGGTAATAAACCCAATGCTTCTGTCATCACAGATGCTACCCAGTCTTTCCTAGCACCGCCATGGAAGTTGTGAAAAATGTCCAATTGTAAAATGATGATGGGCAATCAGGGTCATGATACAATTTGAGTAGGCTAGGCTGTCTTGCCCAGGGAAGATCACAACCATCAGAAACCCAAAGAGCATCATCTCGGAAGTCTTCATAAGGAACTTGAGATCGGCCAGCGTGGCAAAGAAAACATATGCCCGCAGGAGGCTCCTTGGGGTTTCGAACCCGCTGAGCGCGCAGAAAATGTCGTTGGAAGCCACCCGCTTTTGTTAGCCAAGGGAGATCTCCCTTGACCCCCAGAACAATGATATGCCACGTATTGTTTCCCCATGTAAAGCCCTGCTGCAGCTTCAGAAGTTGGTTGGCAAGGTTATCAAGGAGGTTATCAAAAACTTCCGGCTGCTTTGCAAAAAACTTGCGCTGCATAGAACAGTAAAGCAATCTGCTGCCGTAGCTGTGCCCACCAATGTTCAGTCCCATGCAGTTTGTCATGAACTCGGCACGGTTTTTATGCTTCTTATGAAATGGGGCTGAACCAACTCCAAGAGCTCCTTGAATATTTATCAAGAGAACCCCACTCTTTTTGCAGGAGCGGCCATCGTCGCCGTGAATATAGCATGGGATCGACCTCCGTAGCTGCACGGATCCGTTATAGACTTGATGCCCCGGGCATATTCTGGCGTACCGCCTCCAAAATTCCAGACGCATGGGTTCCAATTCATGTGATGTTGCTTCCGGAGCCCCGCATAATCTACCAGTTTGGCCTTTGGCTGCCAAATAATGAATTAGGTCGCAGGGCTGTAACACAGGGAAAGTTTGACTCTGCAGGCCCACGTCAATCCAGGAGATTTTGATGTCAAGTTCGAGGCTGTGTTTGCGAAACCTTGTGTTTGTGTGGGACCGTGGAGCTACATAGGTTAAATGTTGGATTGAAAACAAAAACCCAAAAACAATGGCGTGCGAGCATGAAACATCTTGTGGCAGGCATCTTCAGCACGATCACCTCGCACCGTAGCCAGGCGTCTTGTAATAGGGCACGTGGTCGCCCCAAACTGTTGCACAGCTGCTTTGGCCATAGCAGCAACACTTGAAGCCGTCGCCCCATTTGCTATGCAGTCTGCTGCATGCTTCCCCAGAGGTCCAACATCACCTGGCACGTGAGATCACGCACCCGATGCAAACATTGGCCGAGGTCTGGCATGTGGCTTCACGCGCTGATGAGAGCATGCTGAGCAGGCCGGGGGGGTCTTGTTTTTCCGAGCGCCCATGTGTTCATCACACGAAGCATGCCTGCTATAGGCCTTGAGAACCCCGAAGCCGTGCAGACACAGCTAAGCCCAGGAGACATTTGCATATATACATTATGCACGCCTCCGCCCTCAACAAATCTCGTGTGATCTTTGATCACTTCTTAGACTTCTTGGCAGCCTTGGGCTTTTCAGCTGCCTTTCTCTTCTTTGGAGCTTTGCTCTCGGCAGGCTCAGCACCATCCTCAACGCTGGCAGAGGCCTTCTTGATGATGCGCAGGAGTGGGCTCGCAGTAGCTTCGAGTCGAGTGCACTGGCTGCCCCTTAGATCTTCGAATGCTCTAGATCGTATGCAGCCGCGTGTGCACAGATACAACATGTCAGTGTGTCTTTTGGCCAGGACGCTGCACTTCGGCTTCTTCCAGCATGTTTCTGCAGGCCGCCTCGTGCCTGAATGATTTTGTGCACATGGTTTCAGATTTTCTGAGGAAGGTCCTGGATACATGCATGCATGATATATATGTCAAGTCGCTTCTTCACCTCAGCTTGATTCTTCATCTTGGCAGACAGCTTGGCCAAATCATCATAGCTGGCGTCGATTTTGCTTTGCAGCTGCAGCATTGTAGACGCCAGGCTTCAGGGGCAAGCAGACTGAACACCCAACACTTTCGAAATATCATGTAACTGATCGGGCCTTGAGGCTTGGGACTTGTGCTCCGCAGGGCAAGTAGCATCATTTAGCTTGGCCGCCAAATCAGCCATCTTTGCACTCTTGACAATCAGGCACTGCATACTCTTGGCCACATGGGCAAGCACGTCCTGAATGCAGTTTTGTTTGATTAGGGGTTCGATTAACATTTAGAGGGGTTCAGGGACAACAACCCAGAGCAAAAAACCCTGCCTCGCCCTCAACCCCACCGTCAGCAGGCGGCATCAATGGTTCCGTGGAATTGCCGTCGCAGCCCAAGTTCACAAGCGATGGCATGCCTGCTGCATCAGTCACGTCGACCTCCACAGAGTCAGTAGTTCGGCCACTCTCGGAATATGACAACTCACCACTCTCGTCTGTCTCGACCCAGTGCTGCAAGACTTTGGGGTTGTATTTCCATGGCCTCCCAATTGCACACTGTTTTTCTGAACTACCTGTGGCTGAGGATGCCGCCTTTGGAGAGCCGGCCGAGTGGAGGTGTACTCCACTACAGCTTTGATATCTTCCCTGGGTGATAATTCAGCTAAGGATATTGAGGCTGCATGTGAAGGGGGTCGGAGGCATATTTACAGCTGAGGGTCTCAGTGAAGTCAAGCTTTTTCGCCATTTGGGTTTCCGTGTACCAGCCTGCGGTGACCGTGAGCTTCTTCTTCATCTCCTTTTCGAGAGTCTGCATCACCTTGCGCTTCAGCAAATCCTGCGAAGTATGCGCACACATTTTTCTACGCAGTCCCTGCATCGATCTATATGAACCCATGGAAATGTGTATTTCGGTCCTTCTTGAGGCCACTCTGCTTGAACAACTCCATAAGAGTAGCGCGGTCATCACCACCCTTCTGAAACATTTTCCTGCAATCTTCCCCGGCCTCACAAATACCTGATTTCTTGATTGCGCACAGCCTACGCAAGCGCTGCTCCACAGCAGAATCAGATAGATACTTCCCATTGACATAGACATGTCCACCGGCTTGCACCTCGACCTTAGCTTGCAAGCAGAGATCATTACTGTTGAGCACGCTTGCCTGTAAGTAAGACATGAGACCTGCTCCTCATTTGCACGCGAGCTCACTGATCCGTTGTGTGAGCTCGAAGCTTCTGTCCTCGGAGGCAAAGTGCTTGGTGCCGGGGAATCAGATCGGGAGGAGGCAGGGGGTGGCGTCGAGCTCGTAGAATTGCCATGCGCGGCATCTTGGCACCACTGAACTAGCGCACGTCTGCGGGCTTCAAGCTCAGCAATCTCTTGCAAGTACATCGTGTTGATCTGATCCTGTGGATAACAGAAGCTCTCATGGAGTCATGCTTCAAGAAAAGAATATAGCATGTCCTTGCTCAGCTTGTCGGTGACATCAGGAGGCGACTTCTTCTCCTTCATCACGATGAGGCATGAAGGACACATGCCGTCATGACTGCTGCATGCGCCTTTTTTTGGTGTCCTTGATCTCCCTTTTCATGGGAGACGGATCCGCCTGTAGCAAGAAAACGACAAGGGTACAAACGAGATGCACTCACGCAGTTGCCCGCCTTGAGACTCATACTCACACGGCCACTCATCTTGATCTTCTGTGCGCGATCAAGCTGCCCTTGCATTTCCTGCCGAACACGATAGTTAAAACATGCATGTGGAAACAGGTCCCCAAGCTCCTGCCTGCAGCTTCTTGCGAAGGTCATCTGCTTGCTGACTTGATGATTTTGGTTCACGCTTGCACTTCATCAAGTGAGCGGCTCCCACATCCATAGAAGAGTTGCTCCATGTGCGGGACGGCAGACCAGCAGGAATATGCGCCATTCGCAAAAACCACTACATGGAAATCACACAAGTCGCATAAGCTGGCAAATGGCCTGCACAAATGGATTTGATAGCAATCTGCCGAGTTCAAAGATCAGATGCATTCCAGGAAGGCTTTCGTAACCACACTTTTTTGCTTCGGAACAGCTCTGAAATGGCTCGTGAAGCTCTCAGATTTCCACCCCTGTGTACGGCCAAATTCGGCCATGTATGGCCATATTTCGGGTTTGGGTTTTTCGCGATAAAACGTTGATAAAATGTCATATTCGCTTCGGGTACGGGTTTGCATATGGCCATATATGGCCAAATATGGCCATATATGCCCCCTGAGCCCTCGAGTTCACCGAGCGGCCCAAACTTCGATTAAAAGCCCTCTCGCCCCTTTTGCGAGCTCATTTTGGACACCTTGCCGAGCTCGATTGAGGATCGAGTGTTCTTCTTTGATCATAAGACAGGAATCGAGACTACAGCTTTTGTCAGCTTAAGGCTGCATGTCCCTTCATCGAGGTGTCCAAGGTTTCGAGGCAAAAGACGATCCGAGGACTAACATGACTTTGCATGCTACAACTCTTTTGGCAGCACATCATACCAAGCGGCCGGAATACGAAGCCGTGTGGAGCCACGAAGACAGCGAACCACTTCCAGAAGGTTGCCGTCATGAACTAAGTCCGAGAAAGACATGGCCTTAAAGATCTCAAGGGCACTTTGATGTCTCGGCACAACAGTCTTCACTTCAACTCCGCCCCGATGGCGCAGGAACTGTGGCATCAGCTCGGCAACACGCTTTCCAAAGGCTCGCGGGTATCGCCTATAAGCATGCACATGATTATGCTGCCCTCTGAACCCTCACACACACACACACACACACAGCAGTGTGTGACAATCTGTTCATGCTGCACTCCGGACACTGACACGCAGACAAGCATCTCTGTTGCTTTAAGCTTCTTGGCGCCAGTCCACCTGACCCTACCCGAGGCATCCTGGTACCGATGAGCGGTCTGTGAGTGCTGGCCGGGAACTCGGCGGCGTCGAAGTTGGCCCCTGTCCAAAGACCAGATAAACCGGCTGTTAGACCAGCTGATCTGCCGCTTCGGGCTCCAATTTCTCAGGATCGGAACACAAGCCCATCCACCAGCAACTTCGGTACACCTCAGTGGCTTGCGTGATACAATATGTGCATGCAATGATATGCGCGTATGATATGCCATGATCTTCAAGAATTGAGGACATGACTCGAGTAACACGGGATAGCCAAACAAAGCAGGGATGACGGTACAGAAGACTTTGTCGTGGCTGCTCTATACTCTACAATATATGTTCCTCGTCTTGCAATGATCATCGCCACTAACATACAGCACCTGCACGATGGAGCAGCAATAAACATGGGTCAGACATTGCATGATTCAGATTCCATATAGCTACACGAGTCTATAAATAAAAGCCCGTCCTTGAAATCATCGTATTCCCTTCGTATACTGCACGACGTGTCAGATCACCAAGCGGGCATAGATATGACCTTAAGGTGGAGCCTCTGCTGGCGATGGACCAGGAGCTGCAAAGGACTCCCATCCATACTACGAAGCCCTCAGTATCGATCTGCAACAAAGCCAGCACCAGACACCTCAGTTTGTTTGAGTTGACATATGTCCATACGAGAGAGACACATGTTGATTTTGCCATGTAGCACCAAGATCCCTGCAAGTTGAATGCAGCACAGGCACGCGAATCCGGATGGGGACAAAATGTCAAACACCGACCCGCGCTCTTGCAAGCCATAGTCCATAGCATTCTTCAAATCAATATGAGTGCTTCTAAAGCCCTGGTCCCGGACACAGCTCGTTGCCATACCACTTCCAGCAAACATTTCAATCCACTGGAACTCCTGAAGAGCAGGGTCAGAAGGACAGGGCGTGATGAGGAATCTCAAAATGGTAGCTTGATACATGCATGCCATGGTTCAAGTTGCCCCGTGAAAGGCACATCCATCCAATTCACGAGCAAAATGATCAGCAGGAAGATCTGCAGTACGCATACAAAGGTATACCGTGACAGTTTTATGTCAGGCAGCACAACCTGCACCACAACATACACGGAGAAAATTGCCTTCGGACACTGCATGGCCGCAAGGTCTTGCACCATATGATCAAGCGCTGCTTCAGAAAGCAGCATGCTAAAGCCAGCGCCCTACTCCCTAACACCAACACGGGCTTCGAGCAAGACTTGTTGATCTCATAGCCCTTGCTGATCTGATCGGCCTGGGTCGTCTATGATCCAAAGCAATTGCCCTCAATCAAGCTATGTACGTAGCATATTAAACGATGCGCAATACAAATAGGCGAGGCGCAACCCAAGCCTGCATTCGAAACATCAACGGGGAAAGCTCCAGAGTGCCACTGAGATAAATCACCTGAGGCAGCATTGCAAGAATCGTCGGAGAAAGACTGGAGGCAGGGCTGCTACACGCGAACAACGCAGACTAGAATCGTTCTCATGCCCTTCGGACGTCTTCATGCGCATGCTCATGTCTGCCCGACTCCCATAGGCAACCATGAAGAAAGATCCAACATCCTTGCCCTGCGCAGCGTTAAACTCCGAAATCTTGTCCCGAACCGACTTCGTGACATCTGTGTGGGCGAACGGCACCTGCAAGCAGCTAAGTGACACAATGCATGGTGTATGCACATGCCGCACATGATCACAGAATTGCACCAAACTCAACTCAGCCCCACCCTCTTCTTGCGGGCGGCTGCATCATCCGACTTCTTGGCATCCTCGGCAACCGTCTCATCAGCCTTGCGCTTCTTGCCAGAAGCCACGGCCTTGACAGCTTTGCGGTTGGGCCTGGAAGCACGCTTCGGCTTCGCATCCCCAGCCACACAATGATCAGAAGCTGCGACTGGTCCGGGAAGTTCGGGCTCGCTGCTCGAAAAGGATCTTGACCGCGCCATCCGCCTCAAAAGGGCTCGCTTCCCTGAGGGCTTGGCAACCTTCCGCTTGACCTTCCGCGCATTCTTGCCCATGCCTTGCGAAGGCTCTCGAGGTCGACCCTCATCTTCGGCTGTGGGCTCATCTTCGGCCGTGGGCTCATCTTGGGCTGTGGGCTCATCTTCGGCTGTGGGATCGTCTTCGGCTGTGTGCTCGTCTTCGGCTGTGTGCTCATCTTTGGCTGTGTGCTCGTCTTCGGCTGTGTGCTCGTCTTCGGCTGTGGGCTTGTTTTCAGCTGGGGGCTCATGTTCCGCAACAGGATGGACGGGTTCGGGAATACGCTCAGGAACTGGTTCAGGAAGCTTCTCAAACACATGCACCTTTGCGCCTCTGCCCCTGCCTTTGCCCTTGCCTTTACCCTTGCCCTTGCCCTTGCCCTGCTCATCCTTCTTCTCAGCTTTCAAGGCATGCTGCTCCACACGAGTAAGCACCTGCCAAATAAAGACGCATGATATGACTTCAAATCCCAAACTCATGCGAGTTGAAAGGCCTCAGCATCCCCAAATAAGTCATATGGCTGCGTATCATCCTCATCCGGGTTGAGAATTGGAACGCGGGCACGGGGAACCATCACACCTTGCAATGAGCACACATGAGTACATGCATGACAGTGCATAATTGGCTCACACATCCTAATTTGCGTCAAGGGAACTTGGATCCATTTCCAGCTGCGCAAGTCTGGCTTTCATGTCATCGACGGCACTTTGTAGCTGCAGCACCTCCTTCTCAGAATCCTCGTCCTCAGATTCAAGCACCTCTTGGATGTAGGCCGGCGCCGAAGGAGCAGCTGGCCAAGAAGGCAGCGAGGCACTCAGAGGGGCTTCAGCAGTCCACAATGTGCCGGTGGAGCGGATGAAGGGGGCTTCGGGAGCATCATCATGTATGCAGCTTGCGCCAGGTGCGCCTTTGAACTTCGCCTTGGGCGGCACAAGTCAAGTGATCAGTGCAAACGTGGAAAAAACGAGAGCTGCCAAGAAACCTTGTCACCCAGAAGTTCAAACATCTTCATCACTCGAGGGTCCTGCAGGATATATTTGGCAGGCACGCAAGGGCGAATCGAAATAACGGATCATGGTAGCACGCATGCAGCTACTACGGTGCAAACATGAGTTAGACACCCAGGGCTCCCGAGGAATGTTCGGCTTGAGGAAAACCTTCCGGACGAAGGCCACGCATCTCGTTAGCCCCATGGCTAACACCTTCATGTCATCAACATCCGAGGGGTACTCAAACTCGACATTGAAGGCATCCTCTTCGTTCAAGGTTTTTCCCTCGAACACTCGGTACGTGAAGCAGATAATCTGGGTAGCGAAGTCATCTACCGAGTTCACTATCAGAGAGCACTCATCGGACATGCGCTTTAGAACAGGCACTACCAGGTCCTCATTCAAGAGGGCATGATGTCTATCTTGAGTTGCAATGGTGTTTCCATCCGTAGCAACCAGATTGCGAACACTGTTCTGCGCCTGCACCCTTTGCACAATCAACGGGTTGGCAACCCAATCCTCCCAAACGCCCCGAAGCGAAGCGGCCATTGCAAACCACGAGACCCTACAAGATCCTATAGGAAAATTGAACCTACGGCAGCTGTTAGGCATTTGCATGATATTGTCATGATCAATTGCTGCAACCTGGATGAGTCTCGCAAGATGCAAATGGAGGGCGCACTTCAGCGTATCCGCAAGCGTGCAGCCGCACGCCATTACATGACAATCCCCTTTCCGCTTATAAAGCTTCTTTTGTACTTGCTGGATGAGTTGTTGTCAATCCACGCTATGATTTGAACCCCTTGTCGCTCCATGTACCATCTCTCAATCTTTGCAGATACAAGGGCCCTGTACTTGAGTCCGGAAACAGCAAATACGCATATGAACGGTCATTTCGCAGTATATGCCCAAATTTGTCCCTCGAACGCGTATACCAGGTCATTCGGGTTTAAAGGCAGAGAGTGGTTTTATTTTACATCTTGCAAACAAGAAGTCAACGCCCTTCTTGACGACAGGGCCGCCTTGAACGCAGCCCCAAGTGCGAACGAAAACACAGTGTGACTCAGCGAACATGTCCACCTTGAGCCGAAATGGCAAAATCGCGTATGCAAAGTGCTCCTCACTTATGCCTTTCCTGCAGTCTTTGAAAGCTCCTGGCAAGTCCCAAATATTCCCGAGCCGTGTCCCGGCTAGTGTCTTGAGCAAAGCCTAGAACATTGTGCACGCGCATCTGTCGTAACGTAGCTTGAAAGCACAGGGGAGGCAGAGCGCCGCCACTCTGTGATGTCTGCGCACCGCTGCTCTAAAAGCATCTGGCATTGCGCGCACTTCACTTCAAGCCCGAGTTCCAAACCAAAACTTGCTTCGAAGTCGCGGACACTTTACATGCCCAGTCCTCAGCAGCTGCGCTGACTTTGAAAAGAGAGCCACCAGCAGCGCTGCGCGGCCCGGGTGGGCCTCTGCAACTTCAAAGGCTATCCAACGCCTTCGTTGCTACAGGCTACATGCCCTCCGCACCTCTGGGTCTGGATTTGGCAAAGAGATGGCTCGCCCCAACTCGTCAAATAGCTCCACTCCAGAGCGGAAATCTACTACCTCCAGAGGCGATCAAACTGTTCAAAGGCAGAGGAGCTGGCCAGGGCAAGAGCATGAGACGGTCTAAAGAGGAAGCAATGGCAGAGGAAAAAAACAAAAAAGCCACTTGTGATATGTGCCCAGGCAATCAGATGAAGATCCCACAGCAACACCTCCACAGAGAGCGGCTGAAGGTGGTTGGTCGCGGCAAAGCGAACAAGAGCAAACCTGCACGCAGCCACGCAGCCACGCAGCTCAGACAGCTTGACGGTTTCTTGCAAGACTTGCGGAAGGTTCTTTGGGGCCAACCTGAGAATCTGAGAACTGCGAGAACAGGCAAGAACTTCAGCTTCGTCACTTCGCGAGCTGCGTGAGCTGAGCATGAAGCTGGCAAAGTTGAATTTCTTGCAGGACAAGATGAGATCCCAGCATCTCGGCGGCCCCGGCTTCAGTTCAAAAGTCAGTTCTTGGTCTCCACCGCTTACAATGACATGTTCACCACAGGCACGTTCAATATTGGCCAGCCCTGACTGTGACATAAGTGCCGTCACGGCCTGCACCAGCTGGTTGGCTCCCTGCTGCGCCATCTGCCCTGCATCTGACTCTACTAGCTGGCGCTGGACATCTGCCGCGACGTTGGATGCGAAGACTTCTTTCAAGCTCTCGACCTCCAAGCTCTGTGTCTCTACGTCCAGCCCAGATCTGGCCAATGTCTCCTCGAAGTCGTACCGAACACCCTTCACCACATAGATCCCGCGCCTCTGAAAAAGGATTACATGCGGTTTTACATCAGTTTACATGCCATCCTCACAGATATTTTTGCTGCATTGGCACGTGACGTCCATCATAAATTGCATGCAGACGTCCTTCAGTGGGTCTTGCAAGTACGAGTCCTCACTGCACCTCTTGTGCGGGGGAAGATATAGATCGGCAATATCTACCTGCAGAGGGTCGGGAAATTCAATTGACCTACAATTTCTGGCGTGGCCTCCAAGAAATGTTGCAGGGCCGCAAGCCGACGAAGGTGTACGAGGTCAGTTGCTTCACCTGCCTGGCCCGATGTCTCTCTCGCATGAGGACTTAGAGTAGAGAGCCTGGACTACAAGACGCTCGTCCTTGCCCAAAAAACAGGACGAACGTAGAAGTTCTTAAGAGCTTGCTTGAAAAACACACACAAGGAAACATGTCAGGGTTACTAAACGTCCACAAATCGGGTTCTCTCTCCAATTACTCCGCCAAGCGCTTGCAGAAACAAATGCGTATGCAGATAATGCCCATAGCAGGCAATCCACCAAAGCACACGCAGAACAAAGCAAGCGCTGGTACAAAGTCCGACCAGAACTGCAAGCGTGACATCCATGTCAAAGCACGGCATGGCTACAGCTTAGCCTGCGGCTTCCTGTCCATGAAGCAACGTCAGTACCTGTCGCTCCTGTCGCCCATGGCAACCCCGGTCAGTTCGCGTCTCCCAGGTTTCCCCCACGCTCGACGCAGTGCGCTCTTGAGCCCCTGTGGCAGCTTCGCCTTGACCTTTGGCCTTCATCTGCTGGCAGGGGCAGCGCATAAAAGCAAAGATGGGATCTCCCTTCTCATTTCTGGGAAGTTCACATCCGAAAGTGGGATTGAGCGTGGACTGCTGACATAATGGCAACGTTGGCAAGCGCAGCTCGCGCGTATAGATCAAAGCGATGTTCATCTACAAACGCCACTGCTCAAAACAAAATATAAAGTGCAACCAGAGTTCACGTCTGACGCCCTGGCTCCCTTAGGGATTGTCCCGCGACCAGACATAGCTGACATACCTCAAAATGGACCTAAAGCGGACAAACGCCGGCAGTGCAAAGCAGGATTTCAGACAAGTGGTCCACATTTTCGGCAGGAGTCTGCTGCACTAAGCCGAACAAAAACAAAGAGCCTGAATCACTTGTGTTCAGCTACGGTGCATGCGGTGCAGAGTTTTCTGCCTCCATCCTTTCCAGGGCCCTCTCAAGGAAGCTGCGTGCCATTTCCTCAAATCGCTCACGACTTCCCGGATTCAAATACAACGCCTCTCGGTTGGCTCTTGCTTGTGTCACCTGCACAGCCACAAACTGTTGCGGCGCTTAAGTCAAACTTGAAGCCTCACCGCAGCCTGAATTCCCAAAGCAGTGCGCTGCCGCCGCTTCTCCAAGGCTTCGCATGCTAAGCCTGCCGGGTGCTGTCAATTCTGTAAGGTGCTGCAAATGGCACAGCGCACCTTCAAAAAGCTGCTGCGCCACTCGGTCCAAAATCTGTGACGTTTTCGATCCTGGCTCCCCACAAGTACTTACTGTAATCTCTCCCGTCCCGCATGGGTCTGACTCCTGGTTGCGTCAGCAGGACCGGTGCCAGCGAACCGAACCTCGTAAGCCACAATCTCCAATCGGTCGAGACATTCTGTGTCCTGGCGAATGGAGTGCCGCCTCCCTTAGCAGGTCTGTACTTGAGACACGGCCAGGTTGCACACAAACAGCTTCGACCTACTATGACCTAGCATCCTGCCTTTGATCCGCGCTGCTTGCTTCGACTGCTGCGTCACTAGCAGCACTCGGCTCACTCGCGCTTAGCCTGTGGTGCGCCGCATCCATCCCTACTTTCAGGCCCCAGCTCCATTGCGCTCAAGTAAAGCTGTTCCACCTCCGATTGTTCTTCACATGTGTCAAGAACTCTCATGAAGTAATCGCCAGCTTCTTGCTTTAAGATGGAGATGTCGTCAGCCTTTGATCTGATGTGCTGCTGGATGCATGTTTCACAAGGGCGTTTGCCTTGAATATCTTTTCTGGGCAGAGTCGGCAGTGGATCCCCAACACGTGGCCCAAGAAAGTGTGCTGCTGGACCGGCCAAATGATGAAGAAAAGGCCCTCTAGGCTCACTGCGACAATCCTCTTTGCCATTATCTGTGGGAACTTTGGAAAGCCGTATGGGATTTCCATTTGCTGAAACCTTGGACAGACGACTACGGTTCAGAGCCGGCAAGCACCACTGCTTGGCATCAAGCCTGGGAAGCATTCGATGGCTTCGTCTTTTGAAGCAGCCCGTAAAGGGCCTAGGTTGCTGCGCTTCGCTATGCTCGGCCTTGAGTCCGCTAAGTGACACGGTGAGAAAAGGGTTAGCAGAAGAATGACTAGAAGAAGGCCCCCGCGCGACAGTCTTGGCAGAGGCCATGCAGAGCGGCCTCTAAGGGGCTTCATAAAAGAAAAAAGAAAAAACTATTCCGAAAACCTCCTTTGGAACCGCTATAACTGCTGCTGGCCTCAGGTCCTCCGCCGCGAAAGGAATGGCGAATTACCTTAAGGTGGCGCTGCCCTCATTGCCATCCCATCTTCCCATCTTCGCTTGGTGATGGCTGCGCAGGAATGTATTCCAAACTCACTTCCACACAGGCCTTCCAGCCCACAAAAACGGTAGGACATGTCATTTTCAACGGCATGCAGCGCACACATGAATAGACGCGGACAGCCCGAATCAGAACTCTTCATGCAGCGGTCCCAACCCCTTACCTGGGCAACCATGGTTGCAAGCGTGATGCGGCAGCAGCAACAAGCATATTGTCCGTTCACAGCCATATGCCACCTGGCTTGCGTTGCAATGGTGTACAGACAAGCACCCCTTCCTGTGTTCAATAAACTGGTAGAGCCACTTGCTGTTGCTTTGTCTGCATGTCCGGCTAGAAGCTCTCACGATCCCCCCCCCGAGATCTTGCACACAATGTCGTTGACTTGTAGGCATACAAAGCTGTCTACTGTTGACATTAAGCTTCAAGCGGCCGCCCTGCGGTCGTTGGGGGGTGACATTGCGAAGCTTCTGCGCCAATTCCTGACCAGGAGGAAAACAGCGCAGTGCGGCAGGCTAACTGCGATAATCTGAGCAGTTAGCCTTATGCCCTCGCGCGAGGGCCAGCTTCGCCTGCGCTCAGCCATTGCGGGCCATGGCTTTTCCTGAATTTTCCTGGGGCACCCACTGGCTCAGTGCCATCCTGCACAGAAGTATTGCTTTTATGTTCCGTCCGCCTTCCATTATTTGCATTCCAAGTGGCATCGGAGCCCGCATTCGGAGCAGCTCGGCTGGCCTCTTTAGGCAGACAGTCGCTTGTTCGCCCTTTGCTCTGTTGCATTTCCCTTAGATGCCGTCCAAAAGAAGATCCACCATGGAAAGGTGACCTTCGTACGCCTTCACGACGCAACACAGCACGTCGACTGAGTCTTCCAGCTTTGACCTCTGAGAATTAAGATTGAGACTGCCATGTGAAGAGGCTCTGCGCCCTTGTTGTCACCTCGCACCAGGTAAGCGGTGCTGTCGATAAGCAACTGCTAACTGCTGCTGCGTTATCGATCAGGTCCAAGAACCTAGGAGGAAGATACGTCATGTTCCTGTCATCTCTGAGGCACCAGCGAGCTGATGGGGAAGCCTTCTTCGCAAGCAGCAGCTTGGCCTTGCAGGGAAGCTGGATCGTTCCAGCTTAAGACGTCCCTGTCTCAGCTTGGGAGACGACAACCGAAGTGTGACCTCAGAGCGGCATTTGGGTGATTGAGGGTGTTTGATGCTGTGCCTGCTGTGCGTTTAACGCACAGCCCGGCCGCCGGCCTCGTGTAGCTGCGAGGTGAAGGGGTTCAGCTCCACCGTCAGTACGCGCTAACGCCTGCCGGCGGTGATCCTTCAGGGTAAGACGGGTTTAACCGTAGTTGATTTGAATAGATCATGAGATGACACATGGTACTAACATTTCTGTCCATGGGTGGGCAAAGCTTCGGACTCCTAGCTGTCCTACCGAGGATGGCGCCAGCATCTTTCGCGCCACATGTACATAAATCCCCTGATGCAATCGTCTTTGCATGCTGCTTTCTAAGCACTGCTCTGGGCAAGCGCGAAGTCTGCGCAAACTAGCTTTCTGGCAGAGCATCCCCAGCCCAGCAAACATGTCAAAAGCACACTTGCTTAATCTGCAACTCGGACGGTACAGGCGACACAAAGTCCACTGAGTCCTCCAAAAGCGCTCGCAATGCCCGTTCCTTCCCTGCAAGACAAGGATTTGAAACTGCGTAAAATGAGCAGAGTGCAAGGATGTTGTCCGCACCTTCAAAAGCGGCCAGGTGGGAAGGCCTTACAGCTGGAGCGTGCTGGGAGCGTGCTGGGAGCGTGCTGGGGCGCGGTACACTTCTTGCCAAGCAGCCTGGCGCCGTGATTGTCTTTGCTGTCTGTGTCCGCACGCAGCTGGATGAGCTCCCTGCTTCCAACAGTACGATTTCAACATGCATTACTGATGCCAAGCTTGCTGCCTCACCATGCGCCGATGCCCCCTGTGAGCTGCCCAATGCAACGGCCTTTGCATGCTGCACCACATATCCTAGAATTTGTGTTCTCGAATTCTCCGTTCACGCAGGATTCGGAAGTCTGACATGCAAAGGATCACGCATGCATACAAATCAGTCGACCAGTCAGTCAAATGAGCGCTTCCAGCGAACCCAAGGTCATCTCGTTGTCGTTCACTCTGCCAAGGAAGTCTGAATTTTGCTTTTTGCCATTTAAGCGTGCCTTCCAATGCAGGTACGTTTGCACATTTAGCTGCTATCTTGCATCCTGCGCTTCAGCTGAAAATTACAGCCAAAAGTTACAACTTACCTCTTAAATACAAAGCTGCACGCAGACACACGCAGACACACACACACACACACACACACACATGCATGGACAAACGGGCAGGAACGCATCAGAGAATGCAACAGGCCTGCAAATGCAATCGCAAGGGACAGTCCTTTTTCTAGCGGGTGGGGCGCGCTGGGGCCCTCCATGTCATTTACGGCTGCTGGGGGGTCTGAACCCTTTTTACACGTGACTTGTTGGGATTATGAGGGACCCCTGAACAGAATGGGCCCTGAGAACAAGACCCTTCTCAAGCATGTGAGTTATTGAGTGCTCTCCGAGGGAAACTTTGCATACTTTACCTAACTATGATGGCGACCTTCATGGAGACCCTTCCACAGCTCACTCTTTTTTCGCAGGAAGCTTCAATACAACCAAGAAATCTGCATGGATGTGCCCCCAGAAATCCAACCTCTCAAACGCAAACAACCCACTAACTCAAGCCTTTCCTGGCCCCACACCTTTACACTGAAGTCCTACTACCTATTATATCCCGTAGATGTCTGTCTCGAAATGCTATCAAATGAGATGGACCTCCCTGGCGTTGACATCTCTTTGCATAGGTTTCTTCCTCTCAACTCGCGAATTTCATCCGAATGCCCATGCGGATCCTGCCAACATGGATGCAGAACCTTTCACTAATATCAAGAAGTCCAAGCCCAATCATGTTGTGGAAGCCCCAGCCGTAAATCCCTCTAGTGGACGGGTGAATCCCCATGTAATGCCAACGACTTTTACGGTCCGCGTAACCCACAAGCAATTTCTGCTGCCAAGGCGGACTATCCTTCAGACAGCATTTCAAATTGGTTGCTCGAAAAGGTTCGAGTGCCTGGCTGCTTGCCCTCCCTGTCCTCAAGCAAGACTGAAAAAAATCAATCAAAAGAGGCAAAGCTAGGTCGGAATGTTTGGAGCTTGGCTTTCGCAGAGATGGCTGCAAGCGTATCGCCGAATGCCTCGCTCTCTCTCCCTCTCTCTATTCCCCTATCTCCATCTCCATCTGCATCTCTGTCTCTACATATTTATATATATATTCATATTTGCATGTGTTCTATATATTTCCGTGTCACTGTCCCTATTTCCGTCCATTTGTTCTTTCTCTTTTTCTTCTGCTGGCTGCACCTTCCCCCGAGGGAGTGAGCCTGGGCCGCGCCCCGTAGCCGCACTCCCGGATCGATGTACAACAAGAGATCCCATGGAAGCCACTCGCGCGGACACGTTCCTCGTCGTTTCCCCCGCATCTTCTTCTCCCCTCTCTCACACTGCATCCCACTGCTGTGTCTTTCCAGTGCTTTGCTCCCCTTGTGGGATGGATCGGTAAAAGAAGCTCTCAAGCCGAGGAAGGCTTGACCCTATTCAATCCCTTACACAAACTTATTTAAGGGTCCCCGCGTCTCAAAGCTCTAGGGTTTGGGGGTTGCACCTCCCAGGCTTCTTTTCGAGAGACTACCAAGGAAAAGGCTGGCCATTGTTCCCACCGAAGTACAAGAAAACACGCCTAACAAAATCTGCCAACACCTATATGTTCCCTTTCTCTGGGGTAACTGCATGGCAACCACGTAACTGTTCTAGCGTTTGGGCCCGCTCTCCCCGTCAGCGGTAAACTCGTCCTTTCATGTTCTTGTGGCCTCACTGGATCTTTTTGCTTGATTAGTGCGCTACACCCTATTTCGCAGAGTTTGACAGCTCCATGGGTTACACAAAGACTTGATGACCTTGCACGCAGACCGGATGATCCTAGCACCTCACTCCCGTATTGCCGTCAAATCATTCTGCAATCGCCACGCTTCGCACTCCGAATTGCACATCATCTTCCTTACTAGCACATTGCTCCTTTGCGCATCATTGCCATCGATGCATCTGTCTGGACCAAAAAATTATGAGCTCCTGGGGAATCTTCCACCCCCCCGGGTTCACAGTTGCTTGGCCGAATTGCCGCGTTCACTTTGCTCTGCATCTTTCATCTCATGTCCTCATCACGGCCTGAAATGAAAGTCGTGTCTGAACCCGTTCCCAAACCCTTGGCTCGTAGTGTACCTGTATCCCTTCTCTCACGATAACCTTTGCCATCCCGGATTTCTTCCGCTGCGCATCCATCTCCCCTAGTTGAATCTATTCTCCGCAGCTGCCCTGCCAACTCATGCTCTTCTGCTGCAGTCGGGGCGAGCAGCTTTCCATTGCTCCCGCAGCCTAGCCCTGATCACCAGCCCATCGAGCCCATCGTCCGGCTTGACGCTTGCCCCTTCCGGGGGCTTCCTGGCGCTAGCCCATATTTGTTCTTATCAACTGCCGATCCGCAGATTTTCGGCTTTCATTTGTCTTCCAGCTGACGTCCTCCTTGTTGGCTCGCCTCTCTTCTTCTCCGACGTACGGTCCTTGTTGAGCTGGAACTGGTGGATGAGGCCATGCTTGATTTTGTTCCATTCGTTCCCTCAACTTCCAGACTCCGCACACAGCCCTCCCAGCGCTGCTCTCTTCGTTTCATCCACGCTCACTCCAGGCACACGGTATACGCAGCGGGCTTTGTAGTTTTGCCCGAGTCTCCTACTTATTCCCACCAACAAGCAGACCGCGCATTCCCCTCCTCAACACCTTGTCCGCTCTTTCCTCCTCCTCTGTTGTTCAGGTCTCCACGGTTGCTTTCCCACGGCTTTCCTACTTTCACTCAATTTCCCTACTGAGAAACATCCACCCCAAGTACTCAAGTCGTTTCTTTCTCGTTCTCTCTCTTTCTCTTCTCGTTCTTCTTCTACTGGGCTCTTCTTCTATCTGCCTGGGATTCAGCCTGGGCTTTGGCTGTCGAAGTTTCCAAACCCACACTCATCACACCAGCCCTTCTGCTCCCCGCCCCTGTAGGCTCGCTGGCGGCGTCGATTGCAGAGGCGGTATCTGCGTGGTGGGGGCGGGGGCTTCGGGTATTGACTCCAGTCGCCCGGCTCTTGAGCGGTGTACGCCCTGACGCCCATTGTGCATCAGCAGCGTCGCTAGCCCGTTGACAGTTGGACCTACCATCCGAAGTGGACGGCTTCGGTCTATTCCGCGCAGCACGCGCAGCATGGGCTCCATCCCATTGCCTCTGCTGCTCACGCTGCCATTCGCTAGAAAACACCGGGCGGTGGCGCCCCCGTCGAAGACGAGGGCCGGCTCGAAGTGGGCGGAGGCGCTTCAGAAGGTGGCGGTGGCCTGCTCGAGGACGAGGAAGAAGTCGAGGGCCTAGGAGGTGGCGCCTAAACGGGCGCCAGGCTCCTTCCTCCGACTCTGACTCTTCGCTGCTCTCTGCCGCGTTCCTAACAAGGTCATCGTAGATGGCTCGGGAGACCGTACTGCGAAGGATGTCCCTCGCCACCCCAATGTTCTTGAACGGTTTAGCGCCCCACTTGTCCGGATGCCACTCCAAACACTTCCGCCGGTAGGCCTTCTCGACCTTGGTGGGAGTTGACTCCCTGGTGACGCCAAGCAGCTTGCACGCGTCCTTGCCTTCCTTGATCAAGGTCTTCATCTGGAGAGCGGTGACCGCGCGGGCTGCTTTCGCATCCGCCATGGCTTGAGTCCCTGGAGGATGGCCTCCCACGGCACTACCGGGCCGGTGAGCGGCCGGATTCTTCCCAGTCGAGCGCTGCGATCCAGCACGCTGAGCAGAGGACAAAATTGGCTTTGACCTGAGCATGTCCGAAGCTCTACCTCTACCAGCAGCATGGTCGGTATACAAATAAGCATGAACAGCATCCGATTTCCACCCCCCAAATCTCTTAACTTGCTCTAAATCGTCAGTACAGGCAAGCATGGCCGTAGCCCCTCCCTTCCTAAGACTGTGCGAACCCACCAAGTGGGAGGGGTATCCCTCAGCAACCGCGGCAAGACGAAGCAGATCGGAAATTTGCTCCCGGGTAACCCCCTGCCTTTGTAAAACAAAAAGTCACAACCCCTGATGACTCTACGGGAACCATGAAGAGGGTTAGGGGGGGAAGGTACTCCGAAGCCCTAAGCATGAAGAACCACCCAGTACAAATCGCTCCCCAAAGAGCTTGAGCCTCCTGGCGTCCCCTACTTCCTTGAAAAAGATACCGACGAACCCAGCCTAGCATGGAAGGGGTAACGGGAACTTTCCGGATGGGGCATTTTCCCACCGGGCGAGCCCTTGAAGGCTTGCCCAAAGCCTGACACGACCCTTCAATGGGTCCGGAAATCCGGCTGCGATGTGAGCGTATCTGACGGTAGAAAGTCTTTGGCGGATACCTTGGGCGGTTCGCCCCATCACCTCGCGCAAGAACACGACAAACCTAATGAGCCATTGTTCGTCCGCAAGACGCTCAGCACGGGTCTCCCCTTCAAGGAGAGGGGGGACTCCAGTGCCCGACATAAAGACTTCCCAATGCCTCCAACCGGCGCCGTAAGCCTTGCGAGTTGAATCGGCAAGCTTGCTAAGCACTGCTTCCTGACCCCGTCGGTCAAGGTCCTGCAACCCGGAGAACCGGGGACGGGTAGCGGTCTTGAAGCATGGCTGCACAAGCTTATACACGATGCTCCAAGGAGGTCAGAGGTTTTGGGGTTGACCTAGGTCGGCCACCCACGCAGCTTTCGAGGAATCAACGTCAGTTGGGATTTTGGGTCTCTTCCAAGCTTGTAACCAGACTTCAAGTTGAGCCAATGCTTCCTGATCAGCTGGATCCACGCAATTCCCGGCCTTTTCCTCAGTGGGATCCGGAAGGTTTAGCCGTTCCTCAGTCCAGCCGATTACTGAGGCTGCAGCTTGCCACCCAGGCTCGTGCGCGAGAGCTCAGAAGAATCGCTCACGCAGTCTGAGTAACCGGCTGGCGGCAGCCCCAAGATCCCAGCAACTTCCTTCCCCGAGAGGGCCCTGGCACGTCCCCCGTCAACAAGGAGGAGAGTCCCGCCATACCCCTTAAGCGGATCGGGTTTTCCAGTAATTGCGCACGCCGGACCCAACTCCGAGTGTAAAAGGCGCTTGCCAGCTTCATCGTGGAAATGGCCTGCGGGATGGGGAGCCAAGGATCCCCTGTAATCATAATCGTGGGCTCCACCGTAACCTTTCCTTCCAGGAACAATCCTTCGCAAGGGTTAGTGTCAAGGGGAAGGCACCTGGAGTCGGCCAAGTGCCTCAAGGTCTGGGGAGAACGGGGGTTTAGCCCCACTGAGGCACCGCCGCCGACGTGCAGTTGGAACCGCAAGGTCTGAGGTGCGGTAGGGTGTTGCTGCAATTCAGACCTGGCTGCCGAAATTCTTCAAGGATGAGGGAAGGGTCCGAGTGCCTCGGAACGTCTAAGACGACTAACACCAATCTGTCATCCTGGAGAGCGGCGTCAAGGGCTCGAAGCGCTCTCGCTAGTTCAAGCCCTTTAGGATCCTGAGACAGAGACGACCAGAGGAACCGGCCAGTCTGGCTGACTTCATGTCCATGTCGGACCAGGGCCTGGACCGCCGAAGAGATCTCCCTAGGGCCGTGTAAAACGACTTCCCAATCCGAGCGAATCCAGACTCGAGTGTTGGGGAGGTTATTTACGGCGTCTGGCGGGTTACCCGCAAGGACCGGGCTAGTACACATTGCAGAACCCCATGACATTCCCACACGTTAAGAGCCCCTTCTACACTATCTTGCATTCCATGGGACCAGACTCTTCGCTAGTCTAGATGCAGCACACGTCCCAACGATCACTCCCCTAGATGAGGTGGACACTGTCACACATGGTGACATCGAGCGTAGCACGAGCCTTGTTGCGCGCATGTTCCCTCCTATAGACAACACCACCTAGTTCACAGCTCCACTCCACGTGTGCATCCACGCGTGTTAGTGAAACACCCGGCTCATGAACGCACACTCGGCTGAGACAACAACAACACAGCTAGCCGTCTGCTATAACACCGATGCACCTCTACTCCCACCTAATGAGCGTGGCACATCGCTCCTGGGGTAACTGTTACGTCAACAGCTGCACTG